TTTATATTAATATATATCTATTTATTTCTATGGTGACCGGGCTAAATTTTAAAAAATTCAAAACAAAATTAAAAGAGGAGGGAAAAGAAGTTAAGAAAATATAAGAAAAGTTACAATAGACTGGTATGGCAGTGCCAAGAAGTTTATTAAAGTTTGAAACTGTGAATCCATACTAATTTGGTACTTCATGTTCTTTCTACTTTTGACATTTTAGAATTGGTCGGAATTCATCTTTGAGTTCCTACAACACAGAAAACTTTTTTTCTTATTAACAAGAATTTTGGGAATAATTATCAATGTAAATGTACATTTGTCTATTGTTTGTTTGTGTATATTTTTTGTTGTTTGTTAGTGTACATTTGTATATTGTTTGTTGGTGTGCATTTGTATATTGTTTTTTTTGGTGTACACTTGTCTCTTGTTTGTTGGTGTACATTTGTATATTGTTTGTTGGTGTACATTTGTATATTGTTTGTTGGTGTACATTTGTATATTGTTTGTTGGTGTACATTTGTATATTGTTTGTTGGTGTATATTTGTATCTTTTGTTGGTGTACATTTGTATAATGTTTGTTGGTGTACATTTGTATATTGTTTGTTGGTGTAAATTTGTATATTGTTTTTTGGTGTACATTTGTATATTGTTTGTTGGTGTACATTTGTATAATGTTTGTTGGTGTACATTTGTATATTGTTTGTTGGTGTAAATTTGTATATTGTTTTTTGGTGTACTTTTGTATATTGTTTGTTGGTGTACATTTGTATAATGTTTGTTGGTGTACATTTGTATATTGTTTTTTTTTGTGTACATTTGTCTATCATTTGTTGTTGTATACATTTTTTTTTTTTGAAGTACATATTTGTCTGTTGTTGGTGTATACATGTGTCTATGTTTTGCTGGTGTACATATGTTTGTTGTTTGTTTGTGTATACATTTGTATATTGTATTTGAAGTACATATGTATCTTTTGTTTGTTGGTGCACATTTGTTTGTTGTTCGTTGGTGTATTTATACATTTGTTTATAGTTTTCTGAAGTACATAGTTGTCAGTTGATGGTTGGTACACATTTGTTTGTTGTTGGTGTTCGTTTGTCTATTGTTTTTTGATGTATATTTGTTTGTTGTTTGTTGGTGTATATTTGTTTATTGGTGTATACTTATATTTTGTTTGTTTTTGTACATTTGTTTGTTAATTTAGAGAGATTTCTATGCATATACTGTAAATTATAACTGGACCGGCAGATATTGTTGAAAATCCGTGTTTGTCTTTATCATATATTTTTCTTTGTTATTTAAATTTGCATTCAATATCATCCGATAACAATTAATAAACTAAGATGTATACTGCATTGTACTTTTGTACAATGATATTTTCTTACTGAAAATTGTTCTGTAAAAAAAATCCTACTTAAAAATACAGTATTCACTTGTTTCTGTAAACCATAAATGCCCCTGACTGAAATGAAGGAGAAACTAGGTCATGAACTGAATAAATATATGCAGTGGCCTGCTAAATAATGCAAACAATTTGCATTTAAATTTTCATAATATGCTAAAGTATCAATATTTCTAGATATTATTCGAAAACGCTAAGAATTGATCATCTTCAGGAAAAAGTAAAAATAATATTTCATTTTCTGATAATTAGCAAAATTTTCCGGTTCAAAATTTTTTATTTTGAGCATGGAATTTCTTTTATTTTTCTCAAATGATTGATTCTCTTGTTCTGGAAACTTGTTAAAAAAGCAGAAGATTTGGTTAAGATTAAAAGGAATTGAGTTTTTGTCACAAACTCTGATTTTCTTATCCTTATATCTTTGCATTTCAATGTCAGAGACCTTAGATATTTCAAGCTATGAATCATTTTAGATAAAAAAATGATCGTTAGAAATATCTAAGGCTTACATCATCAGGTTGCAAAGATATAGCAATTGTAAAATCCGAATTTGTAGTAAAAACTCAATTTTACTAGTCTTCTTCAATAATCCAGGAATTATCCCAAAAAATAATTATTATTGTTAAAGAAAATTGATATATTATGGTTCAATAACATGCAGTATTTTGAATTTATTCAAGCACATTTTTGAAGAAGTTGATTGTTAAAAAATTGAGATATGAATAACAAAAAACTAAAGAATATTCGAAAACGTACTTTGATTGACATTTTTTTTACTATACTATATTTGTACAGTGTACAACTGCACATTTTTCACTTTAAAAAAACTTTAAATTCATGATGTGATATTGCTATCCTGCAGTGCAGGTCGGGAATTGGGGAGGAAAGCCAATTTAGTATCTAAACCATTCTTTGTTATATTCATAGATTAACACCAATCAAGACTGAACACTAGATGTCGTCTTTTCAAGATCAGGGGTTTTTCTTTCACAATAACCCTGAGACAGAAGCCCAAATGAGTTACGCACATGCCGCAGTGACTTAAAATATAGAGAGAGAGCCTCAAAAGTGTTTACTTTATAGACATATTTTTTTGTTGTTTAGAAAATAAAAAAACCCAGTTTATTTACAACAAAGGTTAAACTATTTTGGTTCAAATGTATGTTGAATGATATTACACATTAGCTGAAATAGCCAAATGACATTTTTTAAACATTAAAAATATTTGTTCCAAAAAGATACAGAGCAAAAATTGAAAAAGGTCATCTTTATAAATATCTAGACGCCAATATTTTGTTAACACAATTATAGAATCCACTTTTTCCTGCGTTGGAATTTCACTTAAACCATTTGACGGCCCATTTTTTTAAAATAATCTTTTTTTTTCTTTTTTAACATTTTTTACTATCGATTTTGATGAATATTATTTCGTTAGAAACCCCCAATAACTTTATTTATGGAGGTTTAGGTTCAGTTCTAATCTAAATATCTAATTTATTGGAGTATATTTCTACAAACCATTAATATTTATGAATATGCAATATTTTAATTACTTCAACTATTTTCAGAGAAACTCCACTTTGTTACAAGGAGACCCTGTTCCCTTACTCCACTAATGGTTTGATGAAAACTGAAGAAAACTAAACCTCGAGGAGGAGGAGGTTCAACTCACAATGCAGCTTTATGCAACACACACTCGTCTAATTCAACTTCAGCTCCGACATTATGAACTTCATGCAACCCTGCTGACTAATGAACTTCAGGTCACCCGGGCAAATGAAATTCAGGTCAACCTGACTAATAACTTTATGTCGCCCTGAGTAATGAACTTCATGTCGCCCTGACTACTAAACTTCATGTCATCCTGAATAATGAACTTCATGTCACCCTGAAGTATAAACTTTATATCACCTGACTAATGAACTTTTTCTTACCCTGTCCAATGAACTTCATGTCACCCTGACTACTGAACTTCATGTCACCCTGACTAATGAACTTCATGTCACCCTGACTATTGAACTACATGTCACCCTGACTAATGAACTTCATGTCACCCTGACTAATGAACGTCATGTCACCCTGACTAATGAACTACATGTCACCCTGACTAATGAACTTCATGTAACCCTGTCTAATGCACTTCATGTCACCCTGACTAATGAACTTCATGTTACCCTGACTAATGAACGTCATGTCACCCTGACTAATGAACTTCATGTCACCCTGACTAATGAACTTCATGTCACCCTGACTACTGAACTTCATGTCACCCTGACTAATGAACTTCATGTCACCCTGACTACTGAACTACATGTCACCCTGACTAATGAACGTCATGTCACCCTGACTAATAAACTATTTGTTACCCTGACAAATGAACTTCATGTCACCCTGACTAATGAACTACATGTCACCCTGACTAATGAACTTCATGTCACCCTGACTAATGAACTTCATGTCACCCTGACTAATGAACTTCATGTCACCCTGACTAATGAACGTCATGTCACCCTGACTAATGAACTAAATGTCACCCTGACTAATGAACTAAATGTCACCCTGACTACTGAACCTCATGTCACCCTGACTACTGAACTACATGTCACCCTGACTAATGAACATCATGTCACCCTGACTAATGAACGTCTTGTCACCCTAAATAATGAACGTCATGTCACCCTGACTAATGAACTTCATGTCACCCTGACTAATGAACTTCATGTCACCCTAACTACTGAACTTCATGTCACCCTGACTAATGAACTTCACCCTGGCAAATGACAAATTTTGAAATCAGACAATTACAGAACAAACAAAAAGCAAATTAAAATTTTAAGAACGTCAAGGGTTTTTTTTTAATCCCAAGTGATCCTGGAAACTAAATTAGCATTTTAAAAAATCTTAATTCTCCCGAATTTATCATTCTAATTCTAAAAAATCTCTTGTTTTAATCTTCTTATCCTTTCTTTCTTTTTTCTTGGATTTACAATTTTTCTAAAAACACCAATCTCATATCTTTCATTTTCGTTTCCCGATCTCAATTTTACTTTCTAATAAACTAGGCTTTCGTCGCGCTTTGCGCCCATTATTTATTTTAATTGTGAACAAGTTTTCTTGTAAGACAAAAATAAAAAATTCCGCGGATTTTAAAAAAACACTTTCGTGGATTTTCAAAATTTTCAAAAATTGAATTTTATTAAATAACCACTAAATTTTAAATCGTTAAGGAAACGGATTAGCCCTTTTTGAAAAAATTAACGTTAAGAAAGTTTTAAAAAACGGAGAATTTCGTTATTTCATTTTTTTCTGCTTAATATTGCCTTAAACTAACCGGTTCATTCGTTTTGACGTTTATTGCATAAACATGCAAACAAACACATACTCACACAAATAAAGCATTGATATAAATATTCATTATCCTGCTGTCCTTCCCTTTCCCAACCACCCTAGAAACTGGGTTAGGGTTAAAACATGCGTAATCTGGTCCATTCTATTATCTTTGGTAAACAGTAGAAAGCTGAATTATTTGCAACAAGATTTTTTATTTTTTTTAAAGATAAGAGCAAAGTAATATAATGAGATGTGATGATGAAGAATTCACTAGTATTTTTAGGTTTGGAGAATGATAAGGATTTTATTGTTTAGCCATCTATTCGTTGTCTGGGCCCAGGTGGAGATTTCAACAAAATGAGTCCAACTAAACATGATAGTAGCAAGGCGAATAGAAGGTCGTCTTTGATCCTTAAAATAATAAGCGGCATTTATTCGTGACTAAATTTTAGAAGTACAATTCACTCACAAAATACCCATAGTCTTGGCATTTCCAAAATGTGGTCTGCCTTTTCTGTGCTTTCAATAGACCGGCGATACAATTAGCATTTTGTTGAGATTTCGACAATTTTGGTTTTATTAAATAAAATTGAAATCTGAACAAAATTCTACATATCTCCGGTATTATTGACAGCGTAAAAAAAGCAGATCATATTTTGGAAATGTCTGCAGGAATAGGAGAATTTTGTGGTTTATGTTTCAAGAATCATACATGTGAAAGAAGTTGACGAATTAATGTCATCAATAGATTATAAGTTCTAATACGACATTCAAATCAATCGTCTTGCTACTGTCATGTTTTGTGGGACACCCTGTACTTTAGGGAGGCCGTAGAGATGGGCACATTTGACTTTTTCATTTCGTTCGTTCATCGTTAGTGAACGACCCATTTCGTTCAGTTTTTCATAGTTTCTTTTCCATCTTATATATCGTTTGTTTTCTCATTGAACGATCGATTGTTCAGTAAAATCGTTCGTTCAATTATATCGTTCATGCAGTAAAAACACGATAGTTTTTTTTTAAAAGTTTGTTCCAAAAATTCCTTCTTCCAATAAAACACTATTGTCGTTTTTTAAATCTTTTGGAAAATTCGTTAGTTCAGTTAAACAACGATTGTTTTTTCAAGTTTGCTCGAACGATTTTAAATTTTAAATTTTAAAAACGATCATTTTTTCGAGATGCATTTTTTTCTTTCATCGTTCTTTTTTTCTGAAGGACACTTTTTGTTCGTTGCCAATTTCTCAGGGTTTCATGGGACCGTCAATACAACTTTCAGGGAATGCTGTATGGCATTTTTTGAGCAACAGAAATGTTGTCGTTTTTTATGCTTAACTTAACATCTTCACTTTTATATGGGCACCAATATTAAAAATAATAAATGGAAAACAAATATATTATAGAGGACGTGAGTCAGACTCTAATAAAAACGCATAAAGTACTTCCAGTATCTATATTTCTTATAACTTATTACTAGAGGGTTCAGAACATGTGTCTATATTAATATCAAACATGTTAGACTGTCCGTCAGTACAATGCCCCGTATCCGTTCTATCTCATTCCATTGAATCTTGTGGAACTTGTTTAAGGCGGCCAGGCATCGTCTTCCACAATATATCAATCATATTTGGGCAGGCAAAGTTCAAAATTGTGCATTGAATCTAAAAAGTTCAAAATTGTGCATTGAATCTAAAAAGTTCAAAATTCATTCAATCTAAAAAGTTCAAAATTGTGCATTCAATCTAAAAAGTTCAAAATTGTGCATTCAATCTAAAAAGATGACGTATATTTCCCAAAACCAGTTTTGCTTCTTCGAAAACTTTTATTAAATAGTTATTTTGCAAATTTTTGCTAAACTAATTTTGTAAGGCTTAGGCTGGGAATTAGTAAAATATTTACCATTGATCTAATAAATAACTTGAACTAAAAAATCAAAATGTACAGGGTGCCTCGAAAAAATTGTGTTTAGGCTTTTATATTGTGTTAAAACGTACTCCTAGCAGGTACAATTACCTTAAATTGACCATGGGACAATATAAACAAATTTTCAAAAATTACCAAGACGCAGCAAACATTGTTGAATTAAACTTAAATAAAAACATTGCGAAATTTTTTTTGATTTTTTAAAAAATGGGTCAGCAAGCACTTTTAAAAATCAACAAATCACATTGATCGATTTTTCCATTTTTTCGAAACTTGTCGATATGGGTGTCTAAACCACTGAATATTGCCCAGTTGTTTTTTCAAATTGTGAAAGTTTTGGAGGACTATGGCAAAATTCCCTTAAAAGTCCGTGTATTGCCTTTAACTTATTCATTTTTAACCGATTTTTATTATTACACATATTGACATATTTTGAAGAAAATTTTTTTTGCTTGCACTAGCGATATATTATTTACAAAAGCGTGATGCGGTGCATGAATCTTAAAGTAAGAAAAACAAATTTACATATTTTTATTTTACCATGAAAACCTTGAAGACGCGTGCTGAAAGGTACTGAACATTTTTTTCATAAAAGTGCCATATTGTCCCCCCACCTTCCTTAGTTAGGGGGGGGGGGTCGTCGATTAAACAGCATTCATGCAATTTTAACCTTCAAAATAAGGTTTAGTATTCGAAAATGTGCACGGTCCCATTTCCGAAGATATGAACTGCTTTTTTACCCACTGCACTGTCACCACACCATGTACAACTGCACTGCACTGTCACCACACCATGTACAATGGCAATATATTGATGGTCGTCGTTAAAATACCGTTCTTACATTCAAAATAAACTTGGTCCGTTTTCTTAAGATTTCTAAAAAAATTCAAATTTACTTTTATGTCATTTATTTTGAAAAACCTCAATTCTATCATTGAAAATGCGAAATTTATTCTATTCTGGAAAGAGAACATTTTCTAATACTAAAATTTTAAATTTTAATAGTTAAAACGGCATTTTAGAGACGACCACCACAGCTTATAGTGTTTGTACTTTCTAAAAGAACTTTTTGACACAATACAACGATAATTAGTAAGCTAAACAGCCTAAACACACCTTTTTCAGAGAAACATATTTAAAATCCCTCAAAACAAAAAGCAGGAACAAGTAGCATATATTAATATTTTGGAAAATTATTGTATTCCACCCCATTACATTCATAATTGGATTTAGAATTTAAAAAAATTATAAATAAACTGGCCTTTAAAGTTAAATATAAAATGAGGTTTATTAAACTGTATATCAATTTGCGAGAGACGGTTTGGTTTTTTCTATTTGAATTTAATCGTGTTTTGGATGTATAACTCAACAATATTTGAACTTACGGAGTTGTTTTGTTTATTTAAAACTCATATGCCACCAAAAACTACAAAAGTGAAAAGGCGAACAATTTAAGTTTAATATATCAAATTTTGATCGAAATTCACAGCTTGCTGGAATAAAATCCAAACTGTTAAATTTAAAATAATTAAAATTATTAAAAGGTTCAAGACAGGCCAAATAATGATTAGCTTAATTTCTGCAACGAGTTAAGAATTATTGGTTCTTAGAACCAAATTTTATGAATTTGCGGGGTCGCGCCGGTTCAAATTTGAATAACAATCCAAATTCTTCCTAAACCTTTTAATTTAAATCGTGGTTTAAATTTGAACCGGCAGTTCAAATTTGATATATTCAGCTGCAAATATATAAAGATTATAAAATTTGTATTTGAGACTCAATTGTATCAACTAAACTATATCAACTAAACTATATCAACTAAACCTACCAAATATGTTTATCAAACAATTTATGGTTAGAAAATCCTTAAACCAAAAAACCTTAGGTTAGAAAACACTAAGGCCAGTTTATATATTCCTCTAGGTCAGATGAGCAGTCACTTAAACATGAAAAAATATGCAAGATTCCATTTAACACAATCTGTTAATATACAGAATACAATATAACGGAGACGACGTTTTTATCTAAGTTTCGATTTTTTAGAAGCTTTTTTAGAATTACAAATCTACACGTAATCAAAGAAAAGCTTTTTTATTGAAAGCTTCATGTTTATGTGTATTCATGCTGTTTCAAAGCTTGATATAACTTTAAATTGAAATCGAAAGTCGTCTTCATTATATTCATGAAATCGCAATCACACCTTAGTTTTTTCCCTCGTCGTTATTCGTTTTTTTAAGTTCAAAACATTTGTCCTTCTTTCTTCTAAAAACGAAGATTCGTTAGCTTCAAAAACGTTTTAAGATGATGCTCAGCTAGCATCATTTACAAAGAGTTGATTTTTTAAATGAAAAAAATCGTAAGTTTGAGCAAACAAAACATCAGCAATAATTTGACTAATAAAATGAATACTTTTAAAATATTATCTTATTGTTTACTCAGATAAAACTTGCAAGTTGCCCTCACCAGATTATAAAAGGAGAATGGGGCTGTAGTACAGTTCTTCCTTTTACAAAAATCCTTGTAAGTATTATTATGTGAAACCATGTTTTAATTTTTACATAGTCTTTCATTTTACCCGATCTTCCTTCCAACCGTACTGTGCTTAGGGGTGAGCATATTCTTGAGTTTTGAGATATTTTGTTTCCCGTTCGATATAACTAGGGCCTTCAGCTACGCTTCTTCTTCTCAAATTCGTAATATTTATAGAACCTGCGTTCCGTTTTTTATATTAACGATTGTGCCATATATTCACCATTGTTAACCCGAAGCAAGAAGGGTTAAGGAATGGTCGTTACTCGTTATTAGAAGTTAAAACTTAAAATAGAAGATGGGTGCGAAGCATCGTGGAAGCAGCTAGACATATATATTAATCCATATTATGGATGTTTTCTATTTATGATGGGATTGATTTAAAATTTAGGAATTTGGTTATGAAAGGCGAAAAGGCCTGCAGCAGGGAGTTCGCCCTACCATATGATTATACATGCTTTGCAGACGGGTACTCTATTTGTATAAGAAATATTTGTCTGATGTACAATTACCACGTATACAATAACCTATTTTGAATATTTCATATACAAATGGAGTACCCGTCTGCAAAGAACGCATAATTATAGTGGTAGGGCGAACCTCGTTAGTTATATATCCCCTCTATTTCTTACTCCCTGGCCTGCAGACATATAGTTATGTAAAGATATTTACATAAGTTATTATTCTGATTACAAGATCTGTTTATATTTCTAATCCTAATTGTTATCTTATGACAGTATAAAGAATACATTTTTTTCTTCAGCTTAAAACTTAGACAAAAAAAAATCTACCAGTGTAATATTTATTACCCCCCCCCCCCCCAACCTACTCTTGTCCATCATAAGTGTATAGATAAACATTAGGCTCTTTTAAGATATTTTTTTTAAGGAAAATTCACATTCAGAAACACCGAGAAAACCTCAAAATGTAAAGGTTAGTTATTTGATAGATTTTTAGAATGGATGTAGTTTAGAGGTTGTCAGCTTTCACTCAAAAATGAATGACTATCACTCAATAATTAATGAGAATTTTGACAATTTACTTCCGAAAAAACCAGTTAAAAAATTTGCCTCCAACAAATTTTGATTTTCATAAATTTTTTAAAATTTTGAAAATACCCGAAATTATTTTATGATAGGAATTGAGTCTTTGCCAGAAACTCAGTAATATTCTAATCCCTATTTCTTTACAAATTGATGGTGTAAACCTTTCATATTTCAACCTTATAATATTTAATCTATCAGAATTCATAGTTTGAAATATCTAAGCTCTACGACAATGAGTTGCACAGATATAGGACTCGGAAAATCAGATCAATTCCTTTGCGAATTTTTGTTTGACAATTTTTGTTTGTTTGACAATGTACATAAAGAGAACATCTACACAATTGAAACAGACAATGTACATAAAGAGAACATGTTCACAATTGAAACAGACAATGTACATAAAGAGAACATGTTCACAATTGAAACAGACAATGTACATAAAGAGAACATGTTCACAATTGAAACAGACAGTGTACATAAAGAGAACATGTTCACAATTGAAACAGACAATGTACATAAAGAGAACATGTTCACAATTGAAACAGACAATGTACATAAAGAGAACATGTTCACAATTGAAACAGACAATGTACATAAAGAGAAGATGTTCACAATTGAAACAGACAATGTACATAAAGAGAACATCTACACAATTGAAACAGACAGTGTACATAAAGAGAACATGTTCACAATTGAAACAGACAATGTACATAAAGAGAACATGTTCACAATTGAAACAGAAGATGGCGCTTTGCGCCCTTAAAGCCTACTTTTGGATAGAAATGTGAAGGTTTAAGTGTAAAACTGTTCGAACGAAAATATCTCTCTCAAAATATCTATGTAAAACACTTTTTTTTTGTTGGCAACTATAATGAAAGTTGCGTTGGTTGGCGCGGAGATGCTAATTTAGAATTTCTTTCATGGCGTTTTCTTGCTGAAAAAGTCACAAGAATTAAACTGAACCGAAAAGGTAATTTTTGCAATCTGATAGCGGAAACCTTTACAACATCAAGTTTCAAAGATATAATGATTATAAAAACAGATTACTATTTACAGGGCTGGGCAAGCTATTTTGAAAATGAGATTTCAAGTTTTCTTGATGTTCCACTAGAATGGGCTCTCAATACAGAAGTTCCTCATTGGTTGCTGGGTTCTTATGTGAGCTTTTTTAAAATTTATTTTTAAAATAATTTAAAACCAATTCTTTTCCTTGTTTTAAATGACACAAACTTTGTTTAAAATATTTCATTAAATATTTTAGATTTTACTGCTCTGTAATTCTACCGGCCAAACCCCAAACTTCCTAATAAGTCTTCATGATGCAGTATATCAAGTTCTGTATGAAACTTAAGTTTAACTTCCCTAAAGAGAAATAAATCACCCCACAAGGAAGTTTAACTGCCGTTTTCAACGCTAAAGACTTGTGAGGATGTTCGGATTTGGCCGGTAGAAATACAGTCCAAATTATCTATAATCTGTCAGACCATTTACATTCGGCAGTTGCCCAAGTAAGTTTTGCGTTACTTGCCGCGCTAAATTACAAGATGAGATTGTATTTTAGGGTTAGATTAGGTTAAGACAGTTTCTGGGACGAGCGCTGCGGCTAGAACGGTATTAGGAGCCGAGTGCCGCGTCTAGGACAGGCTAAGAGGCCTAGCGTCGTGGCTAGAACGGTATTAGGAGCCGAGTGCCGCGGCTAGGACAGGCTAAGAGGCCTAGCGTCATGGCTAGAACGGTATTAGGATCCGAGTGCCGCGGCTAGGACAGGCTCAGGGGCCTAGCGTCGTGGCTAGAACGATACTAGGAGCCGAGTGCCGCGGCTAGGACAGGCTAGGTACCTAGCGCCGTGGCTAGAACAGCCTCTCTGTCTGTCTTGTAATTCAACACAGCATGCGCACGTAACTTGCCTCTTTGCATTCGACATTCCTTATTTTGTTTAAATTCTAGATAAAGAATGGGCCGGGTAAATCAGTGTTTGAAGATGGACGATATTATGAGAACTGGCTGGACGGTTCTGGAAAGATACACAAGTAAATTATTCATTAAAGGGACAGTTAGTGTTATTTCAAGTAACCATATCTGTGCAAAGATGTCAATGCCCGATTCACACAAAAATGCGACTTGCGCATTTCTACTGCAGGAAAACAAATAGAAATTATCAAAAGCACTTTTAAACCTGGAAAAACTACAATACCTTCCACATGCTTGATCAGATAAAGGTTTAAAAGGTAGCTTTGTGAATAAGACATTTTCCATATTTTCATGTTTCCTCTAAAATTGTAATTTCTGTTGCTCTCTCTAAGTTTCAAAATCGAAAAGTTTTATTTTTTCAATCATATATAACTCCTTTTTGATAAGCTTTCGAGAAGAACAAAAGCGTTCTATATCTTTAATTATGTAAACGGAGTCTAAAACTAAAGAATGCGCAATATTTAAGCCATAGCTTAAAAGGTCTGTAAAATAATGAGTTGCAATTTAAATACAAAACTTTCTCAGTTTAACTTTGAAAGGAAGTTTGAATTTCCCGGACCCGGAACCAATCAGAAAAAAGGATTTACGGAGAGATATTACGTAACCATCACTCATCAACTGTTTTTTTTATATTAAATAATTTACGTAACCGAAAAACAAAACATATTTACAGTTTTTTGGGTTTACATGCAAAAATTAACTAATCTAAACCTGAAATTTCATCAATCAAGGTTTTTACTTTTAAATGTATCGTAAAACTTGAATGCCGCTTTATCAGCATGAATGATGATTGATTTATAGACAAATAGGGAAAATGCAGGATTTCAAGATTTAAACCCTTAGTTTAAATTTTAACTCGTCGATATCGGCGAGTTGAATATTTAACCCCTAAAATTCAGGTTTAAAGTAAGTCACAAGTGGCACTTAAGCCGAAACTTAAAATTTAAGTCGGAACTTTTCATTCTTTAGTTTTAGACTCATGAGCTGAAAACTGGAAAAATTTGATATTCTCATACTAGTCCATATACGCCATGTATTATCCTAAAATTTTCGTATCTGTGTGTTCTTTATCCTAAATCAGAAACGCTATCCGAAAACGCTATCCGACATTTCAATTCTATTTCAATTTTGTCTGTTCGCTATGTATCACTATCCTAAAATAACATCATCACGTCTACCATTATCCTAAAATTTCATCAACGCTATCCTAAATTGATTTAAATTTAGATTTTTTTACAAAAATCACTAAACCTCTACAGTAAAAAACTCGTATTGACAAAAAACTTAAACACAGATTTCTTCAATGAAATGAGATAAATAAGGGGGCTATTATCTATCTATCTATCTATCTATAATCTATCTATAATCTATCTATCTATCTATCTATCTATCTATCTATCTATCT